TAAGGAAAAAATTGCCTAAATTCAAGGAAAATTCCATATTTTAAGGGCAATTTTACTTTGAAACAATGGAATTTCTTTGATACAAGGAAAAAAATTCCTTATGTTTTTTCAAAGAAACACTTTTCTGGGTGTAATTAATCGGTAATAATGAGTTTGTGTTCCAATGTTCCAACGCTCTTGTGCCAGGTATCTGGTGCATACTATAGGGCGTTGGACTGGTAATTTTAATACTTGAAAGTGTTCAACGGTAAATTCCAACACTCTAAGGTGTCCAAAACTGTGTGGCCTACACTGAAGTTGAACATTTTCTAAGCGCCCAACTTTACTGCTAAACACTTTTTCAACTGTCCGGTCAAACACTTGAAAGTGTGCTACGTAGTGTTGAGCACTAGCATGTGCACATACCAGTTTGCACACTTTATTTCCCGAACAGTGAGACTATGTTTGTTCCCAAAACAGTTCGTTTTACACCGGCCAACAACGTTATCGTAAAAAACAACTTTGAATTAGTAACAGAACAGCACTAGTTAGTAATATTAGCAAAATTAAAGAAGACGAAAAGAGCGTCGAAACAACCCATAAACGGACAGAATGATTTTCTTTCCAGGGTTTAGATCTTATTAAAGGAGACGCACCTGGGTGCGCAGTCAGCTGATGGGCTTGTATTTGTCAATCAGCACAAAACCATCGAGGGGCCGGGAGTATAGGCGGGGAGGGAGGAGCGGGGGTCACAGTGCGCAGAGAACTGTGTAATAACGCATTTTCAATTAAATCAGATGGGATTGTGCTTCCTCCCACCCACTCCATCGCAACGCAAGGTACACAAATGGAGAGAGAGGGGGGAGGGAGCGAGCGAGCGCGCACGAGAGAGAGAGAGAGAGAGAGAGAGAGAGAGAGACAGAGAGAGAGCCAGAGAGAGAGAGAGAGAGAGAGAGAGAGAGACAGAGAGACAGAGAGAGGTTTGCTCATAAAGAATTGCGCGAAAGGACTCGAAAGGACTGCAAAAGGGTTAGAACTGGATATCGAGGGGTGAAGGTCGCGCCACCTGGTGTATGATATGATCGTGATCGTGTCGGAGAAGCGAGTCACTCTTTTATAGATTCCCAGCATGCTTGGTTCGAACTGTTTTCCGTTTGTTCCTAATTATTTATTCCTCTAATGGTATCCACGGGGGGAAACGCACATGTTTGACCCATTTTGATTGTTAAATGTTGGTGTGTCCTCGTGTCTTTAAGAGATTAACATTCACTGTTACAATAATTAGATGTCGTGCTTTCACGAAATTTGCAGGGTTAAACTTAACTTTGTTGTTAACGAAACATCGTTATTTTAAAAATTGCTTTGTGATATCTGAAGCTCTAACAAAGAGTGTGAAACTTGCACAAATTTTGTCAAAAATTATATGAGCCTGATCGTTACGAAATATATCGTTTCGAAAACTAACACGTATAATATTCTCCTAAATTATTTCACACAAAGCATCTCGTCGGCATTTTTTTTCCCGTTACATCACGTAAACTTAGCACAGTGCATGGTTTGTTTCCTGGTGCCATCCCTTGGGCTTGCGGTAAGTGTGGACGGGCGGCTGCTCCTATATCGTATGAGCGCCTCGCCCGCCCCGCCGCGCCACCTGCCTGCGGGCCACGATACTCGCACATCCCCAAATATTGACGGTCGTGTCGCCCCATGCGAGGCCCAGTGGCGGGCGCGCTCGCGCCAAACACGACCAGCGGGTGTAAAAAGCAGAAGGGGGAGAAGGGGGAGATAGCAGAGGAGCAGACAGAGAGGGCTGGAGGGAGGAGAGAGAGAGAGAGAGAGAGAGAGAGAGGAGGGAGAGCCTGCGACAGGGTCAGGCCTGATGGAGGGGACTTTATATTCAAGGGTCGGTCGGCCGCCGTGTCGTGTCCACGCTCCTTGCCCTCCGCCCTTCACCCTCCCCCTCCCCCTCATCCCAAAGTGTCATCGCCCCGCCCCCCCCCCCCCCCTCTCTAGCGGGGGCAACTTTTATTAATTAACCTTTGATTGAGATTGGGTTCGCATGTACGTGAGCGCGCATACACACACACAGCCGCGCGTTTCATTTGAAAGAAGAAATGTTGTAGTAGCCTAGTTTGTTCGAACCTGCTCGGTTAGAAGATAAGGGTCCCATCCATTTATATATGGTAGTCCTAATCTTAACTTCATTTCCGAGAATTGCATCGAGCCGTTTCGATTCGATCCCTCATTTATGGGAAGCAGTGTGTTACTGTGGGCACTTGTTACCTAACGTAACTAGGCACACCGACGAGTACTTCATTTTATTTTGCGTTACGTAGCAGGCATCGCAATGAGTCAGAGATTGCGGTGTGATCGCGCCGCCGGGCCTCAGAGGACCGCGAATAAGGAAAAAAAATGGTACGCTTCTCGCCATAAGCTGCTGTCGAACGAGTAATAGGTTCCCGGAATAACGGCGGCGACCTGGGACACAAGGTGAAGCGAGGGGTGAGGTGTGGGGACCAGCGGCGTCTCGCCCACGGGACTGGAAGGATCGGAAGGAAGTTCAGCGCGATGAGCTGCTGGCCCCCAATATCACCCAGAAAATCATTTCCTTGAAACAAGGCGAAATTGCCTTAAGTTAAAGAAATAAGCGTTGAATTAAGGAAATTTTCCTTAAATAAATATAACGAAATGTTTTCTTTGGCTTAAGGAAAAAATTGCCTAAATTCAAGGAAAATTCCATATTTTAAGGGCAATTTTACTTTGAAACAATGGAAT